AGATTAGGTTATAATTTCATCATTTTTTTTCTATATTCAGTGAGTTACAGTCCCTCGAAGTCGGGATATAAAAGCTGAAACTTTTTACTCTTTTAAGCTTTTATTTGTATTTTGTAACCTGTGAAATTTTTAAAAGTTGCATAACTCGTTCGTTTGAAGTTGGATTGACAAGAAATTTTTCAATATGTATTTTAGAGTTCGTACTTGAATTTAGGCTATCATTTCATCATTTTTGGTTCCATATTCAGTGAGTTATGGTCCCCAAAAATCGAGATATCAAAGCTGAAAGATTTCCAAATTTTTAGCTACTGCTTTTAGCGACTTGTACCATATGCAACTAATGTTGTACTAGTCGAAAGGCTACAAGAATAGGAAAATTCGTAATAGGTAAGTCCACGGTCCACACTTTTCCCTCAAATCAGTTTGATCCGAGAATCGGTTCCTGCGGTCCAAATGATCACGCTATAAAGACACATATGTTGTACATACAAAGGAGAAATAAGGACGATTATATGTTAAGTATTGTAATTCCCCACAAGGCTACGACACAAAGTGGGATCATAAGTAAATTGGCATGAACATATTTATTTTTAATAATTTTAGGTGTAACGAGAACATTATGAACGTGTAAGGTGCGATGAAGGGTTGGAAAATCAGCATGTGCCCTGATCTTGATTTTCTGTAATGGGTTTGGTTGATATCCAAACCCATGAGCTATCGGGGATTTTGTACATCGAAAATCAGCAGATAATAGCAGAGTGGGTTGTTAGTACCAAGGTGAGACATTAGTCCACTTAGGAGTCTAAGGTGTTTTTTTTTTGTTTGCAGATCTACTCGATCACTTATGTCTGTGTCGCGCATACCACGTGCAGACATACGCCCTCACAGACCATTTGTTTTTCAAAAGTCCGCAGACTTGAAAATGTCTATGCGAGGTCTTCGTGGCACATACATGGACTAATGTCTTCTAAGGTTTTCACAAGTTTTTTAAATCTAAACAAAAAAAACACATTGATTCTTCCTTCCACATACACTTCTTCCCTTTTCACCTAAAAACCTTCCATTGATTATCAGAGAGCCCTAGACCAGAGACAACATTTCACTTTTCCTACGCCAACTATAGCCTTCGCCGTTGACGATGGTGAAAGCCTCCACGCCTTCTCCTGTTAAATCCTTCGAATTCGACCACAACTTGCTGACGCTGACCTTGATATCCACTCGCCATCGTCAGAGTTCTGCTCCCCATCATCTCCGCTCACCACACCATCACCAATGTCACCGACCTCTGCTGCAATCAGTATATATTTTTCTAAATATCATATTTTACCTGAAAATCATCTGAAAATCTATTCCCTTCTAGGGTTTGTTGGTTAAGCTGGAATATGAAATCATATTTCTATATTTGCTTAAATCACTTCTGTAACCTGAAATCATATGTCTATATTTGTTAAAATCATATATTTACTTTGTTAAAATCATATTTAATTGTTGAATTTTGAAAAAGTGTTGTTCATTACTTCTGAAAATCTATTTTCCTTGTATGTAATCTCTTTTATATTTTGTTGTTGAAGCTTAACTATGAAATCAAATGTTTATATGTTGCCGAAATCTGGAAAATGTTTGCAATAGGCATTTTCATATGCAATTTGTTGAAAATATATTTTCCCCCGTTTGTAATTGAAATCTCTTCAAATGTTTTTATGGAACCTGCATCATGCGTGTATGATTGGTAGCTAAAGACATCACGGAGAATGTGATTTAGAGCTTGGAGATTGGTGTTTGGATAATTTAGGATAATTTCAGATGTTAGCACAGTGTAAGAATGGAGATTGGTGGCTAAAGACATCACAGAGAATGTGATTTAGAGATTGTAGCTTGATGTTTGGATAATTTAGGATAATTTTGTAATGTAATGTATTATGACTATTTTGATTCATCATATGTAGATTGTTAAAAAAATTATATTAATGTCTTCAAAATTATCCTTTTTATTGCTTGATAATCCAATGAAAATTCTTAAAGTTTATACATTGTATATAAGTTATTAAAATTTGTTTATTAATATTTCTTTCAAAGTTTTTTAAGTTTAAAATAATCATGAATTTTTTAATAGTTTGCAGACTTTAAAAAAACAAACATTCTTCTTCTTACAGACTGCAAACATTTGGTCCACCTCTTCTACTGATGTGGTCCGCAGACTGCAGACCTTTTGCCTCTGAAAAAACAAACAACACCTAAGTGGGATGTTGCTGAGGCATGTATGCGGGCCAGACAGTATGCCAAGTGTGTTGGACCTACTGTGGCTATTAAGTCCATTTGATAGTGTTGGATCTAGTGTACAAGATACAAACAAATAATTAATTGCTAATTATGTATAATGTGGATAAAAGATAAATAATTGGTTATTTATTATTTATCAAATAAAACAAAATAAATAAAATGGTTTATTTATTAATAAATTAAGTGGTTTGTTTAATAAATTCAATGAATTGGTTAAATGAGTTTAGAACATTACACTACTTGATTAATGGCTTCAAAATACTTATCTAACTCCCACAATTAGTGCAAGTATTAAAGAAATACAACTTAGGTATTTTGGTAACTATAACACAGAAAACCCTAAATGATCTCTCATCCACTCTATCTTATTGGCGACACCTCCAATTCCTTCACCGTTTTGATTCATTGATTAATGAAAGGAACAAAACAAGGAAGGCTTTGCTTTGTTGGTTGGTGTATATCAACCATTTGCATCGCTTATGTGGATACCGATAGTGGTGATCAAGTCAGATCATTTTTTCTACACTAAAGGATCTATTGTAATTTAAAGTAATTATTGATCATCTTTATGTTGTGCTCTTGGTTGATCTTAGTTAATCAAGTTTGATTTGTTATTGGGAATAAAAGTTTTAATATGTCAATTCTATTGTGAATTAGATTTCTTAGCACTACTTTTGAATCCTATTATTTCCAAGAAACGAAAGGCGTCCCAAGGAGTTGGGACAACTTAGTAGACCCACGGTGGAGGCAATCCGACAGGTAGGCATTAGTTTTCATGCCGACAATAGTTGACATGTTGGTAATCATGTTGTCAGAAGCCATCATTGTTGCGAGAGGAGTTCTGTAACCCATTATTGTAGTCATACCCACGAGGTTGATTGAAGGTCCAGTTTTTATGATAATTTTACCAAAATTGAGAATGGTATGAGAAGATATTGTGTCATGATGAGTGGATTGAATTGGAAGAACACGACCGAGATGAGTTTCTTCAAGCAAAAGCATAGACCGTGGCAAATGATACCAACAATATGGTTGTATTTTTTTTCTAGGTTTATTGATCAAATATTTGACAAATACATTCTCATGGACGGGTGCATTAGTATTAGAAAATAGACCACAAATGACTTTAATTGGTTGGTAATAATTAATGATAGAAGGGTCATTGATCTCGATGTTGCGGAGGTCATTGTCAAGTTACATGACACATGCATCTTTATAGTTGCATAAAAGGTTCTCAGGACTTTTACAAACATATTTAGTAGTAATACCTTTCTTGAGTATCATATGGATCAACGACTTGTTGATGGTTCCATAATTCCACAATTTGACTAATAAGTCAAGCTTAATCCATTCTTGGTTAAGGTCAAAAGGTTCAAATTTATTGAGATGGTCTCTGTTGTTTCTCAGATTTACTTAGTCTGAATGATGGACGTGATGATGTACAACCCCCTGAAGTCCGAATCTGAGAGGTGAACAAACCGTTATACGTCTGTCGGGCCTTGGACCTCAGTGCCTAGGGAAATGGGGATAAAGACGGTTCGAGCAGGTCCTATCGTATCGTCATTAATGCTCTCTTAGGCCGTGGGTACAAAAGCGATACATGAGAAGTGTAACCAGTCTTGTCATTATGAATACACAAGATTCGCCTCCATCCGTTAGGTAATTACAGGATATCATGTATCATTTCCCATGTTTCCTTGATCTGATATCTTCAATCGTTCATTTACAACATTCTTAATCGTTCACGGGTTTCGACCATAACGTCCCCGACTCGGCAAGTAATCATGTATGTTACGCCGGATCCCCGGTCTTCAGCCTTTCGTCCTCGGTTCGGTCTTAACTTATCCGGATTGGCCTTAACATGCCTGGCTCGGCCTCAACATGTTTGGTTCAGCCTTTTAAGAGGTGTCATACCTCATTAAGTCCCAAATTCGAATTGTTTTTAATTATTCAAATTTAAGCCGTTATCCTTGGGGTTCGTGCGTAATTATGAGTAACGGATAAGTCTGTGTGATGAATCAAACAACTAAATTGATTATTACCATTTTTGAAATCATCATTGCTTATCGAGTAATCGTCGCTTCAGAATTTTGCAATTGTCTCCTTATTTATCGAGCACGATTGAGTCGTTAATTCCCACTATTCACTTTCACATACTGTCTTCTTTGTCCTTTCCGTTTGCTTTCTTCATTACCTTTTCTACATTGAAAAAGATGGTCGCTCTATTCGTATGATTTCATCCTCCATGAACCAAAAGCTATTAGATGATTCCGTCAAATCTTACCACATTGATCCACAATTTAAGCCACCGCTCCCTCTGGAGAACCAATCGATTATCGACCCTCCTCCAGGCTACGCGGGTGTTTACACCATCATCTTTAGATCCCGTCTTCGTCTTCCTGTTTTGGTTTTTTGAACTCCGTCCTGAGTTACTACACGCTTCATATTGCTCAAATAGCTCCTAATGGATTCAAAAAGATCATGTGTTTCGTGCTCCTAAATAAAGCCTTGAACATCGTTCCATCCCTATCATTGTTTTGCCACTTCTATGTAACGATGGTGACCAACGACCAGGTATCATCTTCCATCCACCATAGCTCCATTGAAATCTGTGATGACTTGTCATCTTTTATTGAGAAATAGAATCCCGAATTCTTCTTTGTGGATGATTCTGCCTTCGGTCTTCCTGTTCATCTTAAAGACCCCCCCTGCTTGTGAACATGAATTTGCTCCTGAACTTACCCATGAAGAACATTTCTGTCATTGATCGTCTTGTAGCGAACTTCGTTAAGTGGGCCGACCTTGGCAATTCAACACTTGAACTTGTCAGATTAGGCGGTGCCACTTACACTGGTCATAGATTCCCCGCCCCTGTGCTCTGTGGTCAAGGGAGTTCCCTGCTTAAACGCCTTCACCGAAAGCGTCTTGATTCTTCTTCTAAATCCGGTGAAGGTCCTACAACATGGTCAGTTGCTTCAACCGACGCTGACCCCAATTTGGAGTCCGAACTAAGCATTGATTCTTACGCTCATGACGATGCTGGAGATCATACCATGGCATCATCTCCCCCTTGAAAAGGCAAAACAAAAACTGAAAGTCTTTGTGGAAAACCTCCCATTTTCTCTTCTAAGCCTCCAAAAGGTTCGTCCAAGCGAAATGAGGCGATGGTGTTTGAGAGTGTAACAACATCCAGGGATATAGGTGTTACCTTGGTCAATAATCCTTCGAGCATATCTTCCCCTAAATGTCCACATATAGTTAGTCCTTTAAAACTTTCCATTCCTTTGAATACTGACGATGAAGGTGTGGGCGTGACCCTAGGTGATTCTATAGACGATATTGTTCATCCAACTTCGGAGGCCACTATCGAGTCATCCGGGCTACATGGGTTCCCCATTCATTCTAACCCTGAATCAATCGCTACAACTGAATCTACTACAAAATCCATTCTTCTTATCACTCCTATTTCTGTTGTCGAACCCATCCAACAGGTTCCTCTTACTACTCTAACTCTGACCACAAATATTTCTCTGTCTACCGACTCTCTAGTAACAATGGTAGTGCTGCCTATTTCTAAAATCCTTCTTGTGATGTCTTTTCTTAAGAAAGGCGCGTCCAAGCGAGCCTTTCAAGATAAGCTATTTGGCATTTGTACCCTAGTGTCGACTACCACTGCCATGACTCCTCTTATTGTTACTAAGCCAACCTCTGGAGCTTCTATTGTCTCTGCTTCTGATACCATTGATGTTGATGCTTTGATATATCCGACTGATAACTCGCCTCTCGATACTGCCTCCGATAATATGCTTGTAACTAGTTCTACTCCTTCTGGTTCGACTATTCCAGAGCTTGGTAAGTGTAATCATGTTTTTTTTTATCACTTTTAGCATTGGTATTTCCGTTCTTTATTGATTTTGTTTTTGTGTATGCAAATTTTATTCCTATAAAAAATCAAGCTCCTCTTCCTACTTTGATGTCACTAGCTTCTTCTCTTCCTTATTTCCTTCATCATTTTACCTCTACCAGGTTCACCAATAATCCTGGTCTTTGGTAGGATGAATGATGAAGAAGGAATGGACAAAGCTCGTTCCCATATCCTTGAAGGCTTACATTGGATTAATGAACGAAGTTTCACTATGCAGTAAGGCTCGTGCTTCTGTGGCCACTACGAAGAGCATGGAATTCGACAAGCTTTTGGAATGCATGGACAATCTTCGATCAAGTTATCAAGTCTTGGAGAGGGAGAAGACATAACCGATGCAAGAGAATGTCGATCTATCTTCTAGCAATAAGCAATTGACGCTTGAGTTGGTCGAATCTGCTTGTGTTCATGAAGAGTTGCATTAGCGTAACCTTGCTCTTCAGGAAAAATTTGAAGACGTACAAAACCAAAAGACGTCGTCGGTCAAAGCCCTGGAAGAGCTAACTCAACAATTCACTAGTTTGAAGACACATTTTTCGGAGAAAGTTTCTAGTCTAGACATAGCTTGCTTCAAAAATGATGTCTGCATCAAGCAGTTAGAGAGTGAGGTTGTCAGCTACCGTTAATCCTTGGAGGAAAAAGTGTCATGCCTTAAGGAGCTGGAAAATGAGAATTCTTCGATTAAGCAAGATGTAATGTTCCACCAACACATATCCGAGCAACATTCCTTTGATCTTCAATGGTTGTTGAAGCAGGGTATCCACTTATTTGTTCGTACCCTACTAAATTCAGAATATTTTAGGCATGTCAATGCCTCTCTTCTGGAGGCATTTGTTTAGCTCGGACAACACCAAGTTTGTGTCGAAATGGTAGCCCGATACCCCGAAGCATTACTTGTGCTTGAGCTTCCCTGCTCTTACCTGGTGCTACTGATTTGATCCTCCAACTCTTCTCTAAGATGACCAACTTCAACTATTAAGATGTTGGAATGTGAGGATGTAGACGCTAGTTCCTTGAAGAAGCAACTGGAAGAGATGGAGTCTTCTGTGACTGGATCTGTTGAATGATCGTTGTAACTTTTTTGTTTGTATGCCTGTTTAAGATCTTTGTTTTTTGTACTAATAGTATGAATCTATCCCTATTTGTGATGAACGACGCTTGCATTTTCCACTTCTTCATTTAATTCTTTGTTTTGTTAAAGCTACCCATGGGATGTCTTCTATTATTGAAAAAATTGTACTAAAAAGTTGTTAATACTTATTAATAGTCTAGGTTCTTTACATTAGACTGTATCAGGTCAGCTTTTATTGAACCGAACCGTAAAGTGAATCCTAGTTTTGACTAGCCGGACCACGATATCCGGACAATGGTGGCTTTGGTAAGGTCAGGCCATAGTGACGAAGTCTTGTCCCCCTTAGTTCCGTCCCACCATGACGTTTGAGCCATGATAAACTTCGATAAGATCGAGTCATGATAACCAAACTGTGACGACCTGTTTTTGGTCCAACTATGGTATCTGAACCATAGGGACTTTCGTAAGATTGAACCGTGGTGGTCGAACTGTGGCGATCTTTGACAAGCCTAGCCACAATGTCCAAACAGCGACGACTTTGGCAGTATCGAGTCATGATGGCCATGCCATGAATATCATTTTCTAGCCCGATCATAAGGTCTAGTCTATGATGGGCTTGGCAAGATCCAGCCATGTTGGCCAAGTCGTGGCGGTCTTTGCTTAGCTCTACTCATGATATTAGAATCGCGAAGGCTTTCGTGGCATCGAGTCAGGGTGGCCAAGCCATGTCGATCCTCTTTTAGTCCGATCATAAGGTTTGGCCTATGATAAATTCGGTAAGATCGAGCCATGACTGTTGAGCAGTGGAAATATTTTACGTAATCAAACCTTGGTATTGATACCACGGTAACTCGTTTAATGGCGTGAGTTTTATTTCACTTACAATATATGTATTGCACAAAACAAACCATTCGATTAAAATTAAGACTGAAGGCTACACTAATCGTTAAAGAGTACAATTTCAAACTTCCCATGTTCATATTGACTGCCTTAAAATTTCTAGTTTCCCCAAAAAGTTCCTCTCTCTTATCTTATCTGAGTTACTTAGTTACGAGCCTCCTCTCCTTTTTTTAGAATAAGAAATGGAAGACACGTAAATTGTGTGTATTCCATGTTCTTGGAAGTTTTATGCTTTGAATCGTTTCCAGAACATATGATCCGTTTCGCCGAGCCTCCACCACTCGATACGAGCCTTCCTAATTGGGGCCTAGCTTGCCACCATCCTTTTTTAGGCTCACCTCTTTCTTCATTAATACCGGATCCCCCACCGTACATTGCTCGTCCTCATACTCTTTTATTGTAATAATGCCCAGTCATTGCCTTGTAGGTTGCTTAACGTATAACTACATTACTTCATCTTTTTTTAAGCTAATCCAGGCTGACTCACAGGTTCACCGCATTGGAATCCTTGCAAGGATTGGTGGTCCTAGTGGTTCGAATACTAACTTTGATGTGTACCACTGAACGATGTCTCTTTGGTGGTCCTAGTGGTTCGAATACTAACTTTGATGTGGTCCCATAGACAAGACTGAACGATGTCTCTTTGGTAGGAGTCCGAATAGTTGTTCGGTAGGACCATAAGACGTGTTGCAACTCGTCTACCCAATTTCCTTTTACTTTTCTTAGTCTGGTCTTGATTGCCTTTAATATTGTCTTGTTTGTTGCTTCTACATGTCCATTCGCCTGAGGATGAGCTACCAACGTGAAGTTTTGCTTTATACTCCTGTCTCGACACCATTTTTTGAACAGATTTTTTGCGAATTGCTTCCTGTTGTCGCTGACAATGATGTGAGGCAAACTGAATCGAAAAACTATTTGCCTCAATACGAAGTTGATGATCTTTTTCCCTATGATGATTTCCATGACTTCTGCTTCCACCCATTTAGTGAAGTAATCGACTGCCACTATCAAGAATTTCAATTTTTTGGGGGCCTCTAGGAACAGTCCCACGATATCGATTCCCCATTGCAAAACGACGAAGGGGTAGATAAGCTTGTCATTACCGAAGAAGGCAGGTTTGGTATGCTCTATTGATTTTGGCAGCTATGACACCTTCGAACCGCCTCATTGGTGTCGTTCGACATAGTCTGCCAAAAATACCCTGCTCGTAAGATTTTCTGAACCAACCCCCTTATTCCAGAGTAGGAACCACATTCCCCTGCATGCATCTCGCAGACCACCTATTCGGCCTCCCTCTTGCTCAAACATTTAAGCCAAGGCATTGAGTACCCATTCCTATATAGTCGTCCAAAAAACATAGTGTATTTAGCTACGTTGACCCTGATGTTTTGTGCCTCCTTTTCGCATGGTGGCAAGATTACTTTCCTTAAGTAGCCAATGAAAGGAGTCATCCATGATTCCTCCTCGTCCTCTAGTTCTAAAACTTTCTCTTCATTTTCTTCGATGCTTCTTCTGGGCAATACTTCCACCAAAACTCTTTTTAATAGTTGATGATACACCACTAACGCTAGTTTACTTAGAGCATCAACCTCTTTGTTTTTTCCCTAGGAATTTGAGTTATATGGAATTCCTGGAATCGTTCGATCATTCCTTTTACTCTTGACAAATATTTCTTAATATGCTCCTCTTTTTCTTCGTATATACCATTGAACTGATTTGCTAGTAACATCGAGTCTCCAAACGCTCTTATCTTTATCACATTCATGCTTATTGCCAATTTCAAACGTACTAGGAGAGCCTCATACTCTGTTTCGTTGTTGGAACACTTGAAATCAAAGTGTAGTGCATAAGTGACACGATATCCTATTGGGCTTACTAGAATGACCCCTGCTCCAGATCCATCATAGCTAGAGGCCCCATATATATGAAGGAGCCAACTATAGTCTTCTTTACTTTCTTCTTTCGAGGCAACCTCCTTCTTCCCTACTTTGGTATTTGAAGATTTTACAGTGCACATGCTTGCTTTCACCTTCCCATCCGGGATCTCAGTCAGAAAATACGTTAATGCTTGCGCCTTGATGCTCATTATTGGTTGGTACGTAATGTCGTACTCTCCCAATTCTATAGCCCACTTAGTCATCCTGACAGACCTTTCCGGATGCATCAATATTTGTTTAAGTGGCTGATCGGTTAACACAGACACCAGGTGAGCCTGGAAGTATCTTCATAATCTTCTCACTGCGTACACCAAAGAGAGGATCAACTTCTCTATCAATGCATAATTAAGCTATGCGCCTTGTGGTATACGACTAAGAAAGTAGACCATAACTTGCTTTTTTCACTTTCGGCGATGAGAACCGTCCTTATTGCTTCCTGGTTTGTAGCCAAATACACTACAAGAGGCTCTTCCGGTCTGGGACTTGCCAGTGTAGGTAGCTTCCTGAGGCATTCCTTCAGCCTTACGAGTGCTTATCCTGCCTCTTTTTTCCATACGATGTCATTTTTGCCTACATGTTTCTTTAAAGCTTGGTAGAATGGGAGTGATTACTCTGCCAACTTGGCTAAGAATCTCCCCAATGCCGTCAATTTTTCGTTTAATCTTTGTATATCCTTGACTGAATACGGGTTTTAAGTTCTAACAACGCCTTCACTTTGTATGGGTTCACCTCTATTCCCTCGTTCCAAACGATATGACCTAAAAAATTTCCTTTCTAAGCTCCGAATACACATTTTTTTGGGGTTAAGCTTCATGTTCATTTCTCAGAGCTGAACCATTGCTTATTCTATATCGCTCATAAATTCTTCATACCCCTTACTCTTGATGACCATGTCATCGACATATACTTCCACATTCCTTCCTATTTGTCGCTCAAACACCTTATCTACCATTCTTTAGTATGTTTCATCCGCGTTACTTAATCCGAAGGGCATTTTTTATAGCAAATAGTTTATTTCTCCATGTGAAATGACATTTTATCCTCTTCATCTTTGACCATCTGGATTTAGTGATACCCCTTGTATGCGTCGAAGAAAGATTTCCATCAATACCCTCCTAACGATTCCATTTTTTGCTCTATCTCAGGTAGGTTTAACTATCTTTCGGGCATGCCTTGTCTAAATTGGTAAAGTCTACACACATTCTCATTGTTCCACCCCCCCCCCTTTTTACGAGTATAGGATTGACGATCCATTTTGGAAATTGCGTTTCTTGCACCACCCCTGCCTAAATCAAATCTGCAACCTCTTTGTTAACTATCTCGTTTGGCTCTTTTGCCATCATTCTTTTCTTTTGCTTCACATGCACAAACCATTGGTTAACCTTTAATTTATGTTTTATTATTCTTCTCGGAATACTCGTCA